TCCTCGACCTGGGGGGAAGTGGGCAGTGGAGTCCCCCAGGGCTCGGTCTTTGGGCCTGCACTGTTCAATTTCATCAGTGATTTGGACGATGGGGTGAAAAGCAACCTGTTCAAATTTGCTGATGATACCAAAATTTGGGGTGAGGTGGGCACGCTAGTAGGGAGGGAAAGACTGCAGAAAGACCTGGATAGGTTGCAAGGGTGGGCTAACAAAAACAGGATGTGTTTCAACACTGACAAGTGCAGGGTGCTGCACTTGGGCAGTAGTAACCAGCAGCACACTTATAAGATGGGAAACTCCCTTCTTGACAGCATGGAGGCAGAAAGGGATCCTGGAGTCATCACTGATCCCAAGATGAACATGGGCCGACAATGCGAGGTCACGGTCAGCAAGACTAACCGGACGTTATCGTGCATCCACAGGTGCATCTCAAGTAGGGCCAAGGAGGTGATCCTCCCCCTCTACGCGACACTGGTCAGGCCACAGCTGGAGTATGTGTCCAGTTCTGGGCACCCCACTTCAAGAGGGATGTGGACAACATTGAGAGGGTCCAGAGGAGGGCCACCCGCATGATCCAGGGACAGCAGTGCAGACCCTGCACTGAGAGGCTACGGGACCTGAACCTGTTCAGCCTTCACAAGAGAAGGCTAAGGGGGGACCTTGTGACCGTCTATAAACTCACTAGGAGGGACCAGAAGGGTTTGGGGGAGACCTTGTTTCCCCTAGCGCCCCCTGGGATAACAAGGAATAACAGCCACAAGTTGTTGGAGAGTAGGTTCAGATTAGACATCCATAGGAACTACTTCACAGTTAGGGTGGCTAGGATCTGGAACCAACTTCCAAGGGAAGTGGTGCTGGCTCCTATCCTGGGGGTCTTTAAGAAGAGGCTTGATGCCTACCTGGCTGGGGTCATTTGAGCCCAGTTTTTCTTCCTGCCCAGGTACGGGGTCAAACTTGAAGATCTACAAGGTCCCTTCCGACCCTACTTCTATGATTCAACTACCTGAAGGGTGGTTCCAAAGAGGATGGAGCTAGACTGTTTTCAGTGGTGGCAGATGACAGAACAAGGGTCAATTAGGGTATCAAGTTGCAGCAAGGGAATTTTAGGTTAGATATTAGGAAGAATTTTCTCACTAGGAGGGTAGTAAAATAGTGGAACAGGTTACCCAGAGAGGTGATAGAAGTTCAAAACCCAGATAGACAAAGCTTTCGCTGGGATGATCTAGTTGGGGATGATCCTGCTTTGAGCAGGGGGTTGGATTAGATCAGTGGCCACCAACCAGTCAATCTCAGTCTGGTCGATTGTGGTGCCTCTGATGACAATCAATCTCAGTCTGTCAAAGGTTCCACGATTGGGAGTGGCAGGATGCACATGGCTGGGCTGAGCCATGCCCCCTGCCGCCTGGGCTGGGCTGGGCGAGTGGGGTCAGAGCCTGGGCAGCTTGTCTGGAGGGTAGGGGGCGAAGCAGGGTGGAAGCCAGGGAAGCGGTGGGGCACGGTAGATCCTGGGGTGCCAAAAAGTGATCTTTACCATAAAAAGGTTGGGGACCACTGGTTTAGATGACCTCCAGAGGTCCCTTTGAAACCTAATTTTCTATGAGTCTAAGATTCTATTTTTCTTAGTATCTACTTTCTGCCACTGAGGTAACAGATAATAGGCTAGATCAGGGGTGGCCAATCTACGGCTCCAGAGCCACATGCAGCTCTGCAGAAGTTAATATGCGTCTCCTTGAATCTTTGCACAAGCACACAGTACAAGCTGGTCACCGTGTGCTTGTGCAAAGATTTAAGGAGATGCATGTTAACTTCTGAAGAGCCGCATGTGGCTCCAGAGACGCAGGCTGGCCACCCCTGGGCTAAATGGACCTGTGGCCTCACCCAATATGGCACTTTTAGTGTCCTAAGTTTAAGAGCTTCTACCATATATTTGTAGTTTTGCTCTTTCAATCATAAGCAGTAGCATGTGGAATTCAATGTTGACAGACAACTTTCCAACTCATTGAGAAGTTTGATCAAACTGGCATGTGCTCCCTGATAAGCAGCCCTTGAAATGGCCTAAAAGAAAATAAGAAACAGTTCTTAAGGCATTCTCTTTAAAAGACAGTGCACATCCTCAATTCATTCCAACAGGTAACTAGTATTACAAAAACAAATTTGAACATAAATTTAACATAGGTCCCTTAATGCAGTCTTGAACCAAGAGCAATGAGAGGTTGTTAAACCTCTCTTAGGCCTCTTCATTCTCTTGGAAGTCTTGGCATTTTAACTTTCAGAGTACTAGTCACACAGATAGATGCAACATAGAAATGGTAACAATTTTAATTAACTTTATCCAAGTGATAAAACAATTAAGGATTTTTGCATGAAAGGCCTTATAGTCCCTTTTTTCTTTGAAAAAGAGAGGGCAGCTTGAAGGTTAAGGAATACGTCCAGACCGTTCTCAGGAGCATAATGGGTACTGATACAGATGTTCAGGGGTACAAGAGGGTCCTTAAAATGGCCTAGAGGCAAATAAGAAACAGGTTCTTAAGGCATCATTTTAAAAAGGAAGTCTATGTCTTCAACTCCGTCCAGCAGGTTGCAAGAACTTATGTAACTGAAAGTGGGTGAACCTTGGCTTTCATTTGTCAACTCTGGTCTGTTGGAGACCAGAAAACAACTGAACAGGACTAGCCACCTAACATTCTTCCCAGAGGCCTTTTTGTCTTCATCTGTTGGTATGACAATGCGAAAACATTTTAGACTGACATACAGGCTGAGAATTTTCAATCGTAAATTAGTCTGATTTCCAACATATATCCTCACTAGTTTACAAAACAGAACATGTGTTTGATAAGATTGAAGAGCTTAGTGTACCTGTTCTCCAATCCAAACATCATATCTCCCTAAAATGGTACTTCTAACTTGTTCTGCAAAAAGAATACCTACGCATAAACACCTAAACTTCTTTAGCAATCCCTTATAGTTAAGGGTGATTGTTTCATGATCGTCTTATCTGTGGGTCTGAAGATGGCTGACAAGGCTGATCTGGGATTGACAGACTGCTGCAACTCAGGCACGTGTTTCTGTGGGTGGGTGGCACCTAAACTTAAACATAGATTGATTCCTCCATCTGCCAACTACATTTAAAAAAAATCCTGAAACCAAATGCTAAAAACCTTCTTAAGTTTTTACTTCCCATTATGAAAGAAATATTTATGCTCAGAAAGAATAAAGGTAAGCAATTGTAAAAGATTTCTGAAGAAGACTGATACAGAAATAAGCAGACATTTTCCCTTAATCTATAAAAGAATAAACGTTGGGATCTTTTAACATTTTGCAGAAGAGAGGGCAGAAATTCTTCTGTTCAAATGTGACCTGCATCACGAGGACAAGGGAATTTAGACCATCCATTGGCAGCCTAGTGATGGGAACCTGCTCAAGGGCAATTCTGAAACTGGCAGCACACTTTTTATGATCTGCCAATGATTTGAATGCTGAGAAGATTATCGCCCATAGCTTTATCTCAGACCCTTTATCTGTAACATTTTAAATATATGTTTAGCTCTAAAACACCAAGAAGTTCATATTTTTGTTTACAATTGATCAGTAAATCTACTTGTCAGAAACATTAGCAATCCAAAATCATACATTAAAAAGTGTAAATAAAATCCAACGTGAAACTTTCAGACCATGAGTGAATTCCATTTTTAGCAGAGAGTATTACTTAAAAGTAATTTATAAATTTATAAAAATAAATGATCTGATTTATTTCACTTGATTGCCTATGGTGCTCAACAATGGCAATTTTTCAGAATTAATAATTTATCATATAAGTGTCTATTAGGAAGTTGTGCTATGGTTTCCAGACAATTTACTAGGTTATTTTTTTAAATAAAAGATTATTGCTGTCCTCAAAGTATATTTTCATGTGTGGATCTTATGTGAAGAATATTAAGTATAAATTGCTGAAGGGCAGGGAAACCTCTGTTAAGTAGTTACTTGACTTTCTGGTTCAGTTTACTTGGCACAGTGGCAGAAAGGCAGCCTTTAAGAATGGGAAAGCCCACGTTCCAGTGTCATAAAACCATGATTAATTTTGTGAACTCCCTCGTCAACAAGTATCTGGCAGCCTCCAGAAGCATCTCCTTGACATGCTCCCCAATCAATTTGTCATTAATTTGTGCAGCACTTGGAATGTTTCATGTTCAATATTTATTTCCTATATTGGTAATATTTAGAAATGGGTACAATACCTTTGGATCTCTAAGAAAGAGTGCTCTTAGGATGAGTGAATGTACATCTCCAATTGGTGGATAATGCATCAGAAGTCCCAAACAGGTCTGATAGTTACTTGAGATCACTAGAAAATAAAAAAGAAGTGGTGGTAATGAGGAAAATATATGTATATACACATTATTTGGGTCTTCTAAGGGTTTTTTTGTTTTTTGTTTTTACTGATGCATCACAGCTCAGCTTCAGCAGCTGTTCTTCACAATAAATAAAAACTGTCCCATTCAAATCTAGCATTCCTCAACATATAAGCAAAAGGCTGCATTGTGTTGTACAGGTTTTATCCTGGGCTGGCATCAACACTAAAGATTCCATTGACTTCAATAGGCAGCTTCAGCTACTTCTGTTTTAAGTGGGGTTTGCACCTTTTCCTCACTAATTTCTCCAGAAATACCGTGTATGTTTTTCATAAATCTGTTATTAAACAGCTATCAATACTTTCTTACATTCTTTTGACTTTGTGAGGTCCCTTCCAGCCCTACTTTCCTGTGATCCTCTGATAAACTATGATTCTTAAGAAATGCTTTTCTGTAAGGCCTCAGAAACATTAGTTTATGAAATACTTTGGTCTCCATCTCTGCCTAAGAACTCTAAAGAAAATCCTGAAATCATAATGCATTTTTGTTTTTACACTTTTTATTTTCCAATTCTTTTAAAACTATAGCACACCATTAACTTTCATCCTAGAATTTTGTCACTTGTTCAGATTTAGTTTTGCTCTGTCTGAAGTTTGTCTCCTGCTATAAACAGATTGTGTTAGGTTTCCATCCTAACCCAGGAATATTGTATGGTTCTTTGCTCGTCAGGGTTTTTTAAAAAAAAATCAATCTAATTATGAGTGCAATTATTATACACATCTTTTCAGGCAGGTCTATGTAAACTACTTCATTTCTTTTGCACCATCTAAATCCAGGCAATCCATCTGCCACAGCTGTCAAAGCAGTGCCTATTAATGATGCTTATACTGTGCAATATACAGACTGCCTCCAACAATACCAATTGTAAATAAATTGTAAAGAAACTTTACAGTTTTCAGAACTTTAGCTGTAATAACAAATATCCTTTTTATTAATCAGAATCCTAAGTGGGGAAAATATTCCTGCAGAACACACAAAAATCCCTCTGATCCAATAAAAAGACAAAATAAACTATTGTTATATGGCAAGGGAGACTCACTAGTCTAATTTTTTTCTTTAATGTGAGTAAACCTCATCTCCTCCTGCACCTCTCCCCTCCCCCCTCCCAAAAGGATTATGGGGAAAAGATGCAGGACTGGGCAAAATGAATAATTATAATCTGTGCAGGGAACCACTTTATCATCTTCATTTCCGTTGCTGATCCGACAGCTTGTAATTTCATACATCTGCTTTCATTTGTAAAGCACTCACTTATCGTACTCATTCTTTATCTGTTCTGCCTGTTCTTTTTCTATCCTTTTGTTTTTCTTGTTCATACTCAGATACCTGTTTTTCTTCCTTGAAGTCACAAAGCTAGTATAATGAACACAATACAATGGTCTCGGTCAGAGTTCTTTCAGCTGAATATAATACAAGTACTACATGTTATATAACCGATGAAATTCTCATCTTCAAGTTTAACACGTGCACAGCACTTACGATTAGGACACATTTTATTTTATTAAAGCAAATAAAAATACTGAAAATGGATAGTAAATTCAAAATAATTTTATAAGCTATGGATATTTAGAATAAGTAGCTCCCGTCTCAATATGATAATGTCTTCTATTTTGTAATTGAAAATGGATTTAAAAAGTTTCTCAGAGCTTGGTGAAAGGTGCTTTCTTTTTTAGATACTGAAGAATGTTAAAAAAAACTAATTTATTTCTATGATAAAGACCCAACAGTTAACAAAATTGATATTTCTAAATACAACAATTCACAGTGATCTTAGGTTTTATCAAGGGTGTTTCATTGAAACATCTAAACAAACTGGCCCCCCCCCCCTCCAACTCCACTGGAACATGAACAAAAAGCAAACAATTCTCCCACTCCGCCACTCCCAAAAAACAACATCCCCCCCCCCCCCCAATCCAACAAAAACTTCTCCAAGAAACA